CTCTCTCTCTCTCTCTCTCTCTCTCTCTCTCTCTCTCTCTCTCTCTCAAACACACACACACACACACACACACCAGCAATGCCTAATTATTAAATACTTCTCCTTCTCAGGATGGCAGTATGCTCATAAAATACAAAATAATAGTTGTTACCCAAGGAAAAACAAAAATTCTCAAATATTCAAAAGAAAAATAAAACCCAAAGTAACATGGAAATTAGCCATTTGCTGGTCTTAATCTTCCACACTATTATTGTCCTCACTGACAAAAACACTTGAAATTTGCCATTTAGTCAATGTGGATAACTAGCAAGCAGATAAACAGACCACTATACAGACATTGTTCTTACATGGTATTCTGAATAGAACCTTGTAACCAGAGCTGCACACACAGTAGGTTTCTAGGGATAGAACTGAGGGCCCACTTCTGAGTAGGCAAGCACCTGCTCACTGAACATAGGAAGCAGCCCAAAGATTATTTTTCTAAGCTTTAATTTATGAGTATTTTTCTACACAATCATCCAGATAACTAAGGCTAGAAAATAATTTCTCTGAAGAAAATATAGTCTTTCAATTTATTTATTTTTTTTTTTACCTTTGGGGTAGGCATGTTATATGCATGTGTGTCTGGAGCACATGCCTGTGCTCACCACCCAGAGGACAGAGGAGATCCTCCTCTGTCACACCCTGCCTCATTCCCGGGAGACAGGCTCTCTCAGGGAACCTGAAGCTAGACTGGAGGGCAAACCCCAGTGGTCTTGCAGCTTCCAACCCCACAGAAACAGGTAACCCAGCTTTTCACATGGGTGCTGGGGATTCGAACTCGTCCTTGTGCTACTACAGCAAGCATTCTTGCCTGCTGAGCTACCTCTCAAAGAAAAGACTATAGATATGGTTCAATCCTACCAGGCCACATCCTCACAAAGTCATCTTCAAAGAAATCTCACTTCATTCAACACAACCCCCTCAAAACAAGCACCCTACCTCACTCTGTTCCTACCAAACAGAGGGGTGGGTAGGGTGGCCTAGGAGGTAAAGCACTTGCAGCACAAGTCTAAGAAGGCTAGGAGTTCAGATCCCCAGCACCCAGGGGGCATGGTGACCCACGGTAACTCCCCATGTAGGAGGGAGAAACAGGAACCCTAGAACAAGCTAACTAACTAGAGCAGCTAAACTGACAAGCTCTGGGTCTAAGTGGAGAGCCTACGACAAGATGTAAGGTAGAAAACAATCAAAGACACCTAGCATTAACCTCAGGCCTCCACATGCCACCCACATACATACCCATATATGGTGTGTACATATACAATCACACACATGCATATATATGTATGTGTATATATACACATATATATACACACACACATATATACACACACATATATACACACACATATATACACACACAACTATACACACATACATACACACATACATACATGTGTGTATATATGTAGAATATATATAAATATATACACGAGTGTGTGTGTATATATAAATAGAAAATACAACACTGAAATAGAATAGAATTCTAGGACGTCCAAGTGTTTAACCTAAAATGCTTAAAACTTATAAGCTGTAATAAATTCGACTCTTAATAACCTAATCCCAAAACTACCCCATGCCAAGCAAACAAGAAAAAAAAAATAGTAACTAAACCATTCTGCACAACAGTATCGGATCTAGAAACTATGCATTTAAAAGGAAAAGGAAGCATGCCATTTCTAAGAAATTCAAGCTCCTGTGCCTGCTAAGTGGCAAGGACTAGGGCAGGCTGGGCACGCTAGAGAAAAATCTGATGGGTATCTAAGTGTGGAGTAACATTGTGACAATGTTTAAAAAGAGGGAGGAAACACTCCAGTATTTATCAATAAAATGTTATCTTAAGTTCAAGAAAAAGGAAAGGAAGAAGACTATAGATGAAACAGAATCAATGGTGGGCTATTAAACTGTGATATAAAAACTGTGCGCTCTTGAAAACTTCCTCAAAGATGAGGGGAAATGTGTGGCTGCCTGGGAGGAAAACCTTAAGCGCTACTTTGTTATCGTTGACCTGCAACTTCTATGTCTTAATTCCTTAGATTTGCATAGAGGATACTTCAGCTGCAGAGGGTGGAGTCCAAGAACACCGGAGACTGTATCCCTAACACTCCCCAAAAGCAATGCTTACCAGAACCTTGGGGTAGGAAGGGTGGGGCGAAAGAAGAGAGGAGGAGAATAATAAAAAAAAAAAAAAACCTGCCCAAATTCACACCACCAAGTGTCCACCTCTTAAAACTAATTTCATCGGGGCAGGCCTTTTAAACCGCACCAGGGCCTTCTAGCTGACTCCACTACCACAGCCTCCAGGCTGACCCAGGGAGACCCGAACAATCCAACTACTGTGTAACCAGGTCAAAAACAATCTCTGGCTAACTCCCTTGGAAGAGTCTACTCACCACTCAGAGTTGGCCAGAGAAACTGGGTTAGAAAAAAACCAAGCAGCGCTTAAGCAAACACCAGGGCTGGGAAGCAAGCCTCTAAGCCAGTTACCAGCCACTCTGAGTTGCAACACAAGCTTTTCCAAAATTTTCCAAAGCCTTCCAAACTCAGCTGAGCCCAGCAGGCTGTTAACAGGGCTGCCTTTCAAATTCAAAAATCTGGCCCAGGCCCCAACAGTTAACCAACAAAACACGCTAATTCACTTGAGATCACCTAAGAAAATGGACTCAAGTTCAGACCACGGCCTGTCAATACCAGCATCCAGGTCCCAGAGTGGGGAAGGGGGCACTGAAGCTGGGAGAAGCAATCGGGAACACATAAACCCTATTCATAAAATACAAAAGGGACAATGGAATCCACACTTAATTTGGCCTCAGAAAATGTCTGCAGTCAGCTTCCACCACCACCCCCATTTTTGTGTGAAACAATCACAATTCTTCATGGTGAGCCACAAAGCCCTCCTTCATAAGATAATTTTTTTGTAGCTCAACCTTGACCCAGTCCTAACAACGGGAAAACTCTCCCGGCGAAGACAGCTTCCAGAGAACGTTTAGTAACAAGAAAGAAATCAAGAAAGGGAATTTAAAGTTCTTTCTTTCTTTTCTTTCTTCATTTTTTTTTTTTTTTTTTTTGGAGCATGAGCCTTTTTCTAGAACGTGCGCTCAACAGAATGAACGACACAGTTAGGCACATTGGGTGCCAGCTACTACCCAGCACAGACTAACAGTCTCCACAACGTAAAGCAAGAGAAAGACCTGGGGTGTTGGGTGTGAAACCGGGCACCCTCTCTACTCCTCCTCCCTGGCGATCTCAATTACACAGCTGTTACACAGGTTATTCCTGGAATTCAGATTTTATAATCCCCACACTGTAATTCTTCCTGCGCCGGTGACCCAAACACACACTCCCCCCCCCAAATACTGTCCGCCAGAAGTGGGCAGGCTGTCCTGAGCTTTGAAAAGCAGTTCCAGGTAACACCAAACTCCCCACGTCAAGTCCTATGGCAAGCACTCTTCAGGAAGAAGCATGACGACAGTTTTGAAGAAGACTCAGCCAGTGGTTGAGGGTAATCACAGGCAAGGCCTGTCTACACTGAATTTTAATTCATCAACCAATGCAAACGCGTGGAGGCCAGATTTGGAGAAAAAAGGTGGGTGGGGTGAAGGGGGAGACCCTCTGGCCATCTTTGAACTCAAAATTCCTTTTCTATTTTGCTGAAGCAAAGTGCATGCCTAACAGTGTAGCTTATTTCCTTTATCTCAAAGCCAGGAAATGAGGTCTTTTAAGGCCAGTCTGAACACAGGCGAAGAAAAAAAATATAAAAAAGCTAGGCGAAACCCCTTTCCCAACTTTGGCCAGGCGGCATGGCCTCCAGTCAGCAAGCAGCGTCTCGTCACCCATTCCCTCGTCCCCTAAGAAGTTTCTCCACGCCACGGGGAACAAAGGCGCCCCACACCGACCTTATAGACTTGTCCATAGGTGCCATTTCCAACCACTTCCACCAGCTCGAAAATCCCAGCCGGGTCCTGGAGAGAGAGGAGGGGGAGATGGTCGTTTTAAAAGAGGGCCCCCAAATGAAGAGCCAGAGCGGGGCGGGGGGATGCAGGGCGGTGACAAAGGCTCTGG